TAAGGTTTGGATTCAAATGAATTGAAGTACTCATCCTATAAATTCGAAGTTCTGAACTGGTTATTTGGACAATCTGTGTCATGGGATCACTGTAATAGAAGTGTAGGTTTAGTCATGTGACTAGTACTAGCTGGTTCAGATGTTAATAGTTAGCTACTGTTGATGGTAACCATGGGGACTTTCTTTCTCAAGATATTGCTGGATGTGTATTCATAAGGAGTTACTTTTAGGTTTAATTACTATGGAATATGTTAGTGGTCTAAATCATCTTGTCCTTTAAAATACGTGCGGTGGTTAAATCTGTAATTGATAGTGCTGTTTCTCTCCACCTGCGAAATTTCTCTCTTAAAACCAGTGTGGGACTGATTATTGAACCTACATAAATTGGCTTGTTCTAGTTATGCATTCCCACAGTATCCTGTTAATATGAGGTCCTGCTACCTTTAATTGAGAATTTCAAATTCATTTTATTGCTTTTGTTTCATTGCAGCAAGTTATTTAGATCACGATAGTCTTATACGTTTTTGGGTTGATGCCATATATCCCATGTTGTCAATTTGGGGTTTAACATGGACATACAATAGGCAGTACATCGAAATAGGCTTCTTGGGGCTGTTATGCTATGTTGCCGCCTCTTTTGGCACACTCCTGGGCCCCTTATGCATTGCTTACCCAATCGGGCCTCAGACCAGTCCAGGCTCTGAAATGAAAATAAATTAGACCTCAACTAGTTTTGGCCCTTTGATTAACGATTTGAATTCAGTTGTAACCTAGAAGTAGCAATAATTTCATTAAGTCTTATTTAATTAGTAGATCCTTGTAGTTAATTTGAGGTGATGCCATACCAACCAAACAAATAATTTATTGCCCTCGTTTAATTAATATTTTAAGTCCTTAGATTTCGAGGCGTGCCATTTAGCAGATTGTCCATGGCCCTCGCAAAGTTTAAACACGTAGTTGCTTTAGGCGCGTTATTTTAATAATTTACCTTCCTAAATTCGGGTGCACATTTATGTGATCCAAATCCAAATCTCAACGTTAGATAAAATGTGTTATGGACCGCGGGTGCATTTATGTGACGTGGTTTGAAACATATTTTAAATGACGTTGCAACCTTCCTTTAATTAATTAAATAAAAGTAGTTAAAAGTTAAAAATGCACATAGGTTCAAAATGTTTTTTAAATCAGATAATAGGCCAATAGTAACAGTTAGCGACCGTGCTAGAACCACGAAACTTGGGAATGCCTAACACCTTCTCCCGGGTTAACAGAATTCCTTACTCGGATTTCTGGTTCGCGGACTGTAATACAAAGTCAATCTTTCCTCGATTCGGGATTTGAACCGGTGACTTAGGACACCATAATTATCCCAAGTGGCGACTCTGAACTTAAAAAATAATCCTGTTTCGATTGTTCTTTAATTGGAAAAACTCCCTTTTATACCCTTCCGGGGGTGTAGTAAAAAAGGAGGTGTGACACCGAGCTCAAGACTGTATTCGATGTCAATTATTTGCTAACTCATATATTACATGTCTCCAATTACATGTGTCACCTCGTAATTCATCCACCTATCATTAATCAATTTTACCCTATATGTCGAGGGTCCAACACATGATGAAGATGTATCCTTATGGCTAGAAGATGAAGAACTGCAAACAAGGATCTATGACTCACTTTGTATTGTTTTCGGTTAGTACTATCAACTTAAGGCATGTTGCCTTTAAATTGATACTAGTTCTTAGCATTTTAGCAAGTTCTTACTTCTTTCACATTGGAAGACATTCGTATTTTGTTATTGTTATTAATTTAAAAAAGACCACTAATTAAGTACCTAGCTTAGTGGTATATTAGCTGGGGAAAAAAGAGAAACCCTAAACCCCGAGCTCTCAAGAAGGCGAGATTGAGATGATTTCCAGGCGACAAACTTGAGAAGCTCGTCCAAGGACAATCTGGCCGACGACCAGCCACTATGGAGGTTGGTCAGTCAACTTCAACCGATATTCTCTTAGGTACAGTCATACATAACATAAAAATCACACTTGGAAAGGGTGGACAATTAACTAGTGCAACGTGTGCTGTAGCGAAAATAATTGTGAAAGAGGAGAAATCGGCCCCATTAAAATTACCTTCTGGGGAGGTTCATTTGATATCCAAACACTGCTCAACAACATTTAGACAAGTGGGGAATTTCGGGGTGAACCAGAACAATTTGGCTAGAGCCGAATCTAAGCGTTGGCTAGGTAAGTGTCCTGTAATAAGATGAGTAGTTATGAACCCTATAGACCATCCCCATGGAGGTGATGAAGCGAGAGCCCCAATTGGTAGAAAAAACCCACAATCCCTTGGGACTATCCTGTACTTGGATGAGGAAGTAGAAAAAGGAATAAATATAGCTAATTTGATTCTTCATGGCTGCAGTAAATAGGAGAGAAAATCAAATTAATTTCTTCACTTTTATAGAAACTTCACAAAAAAATAATTAGGAGTAAGTTTGTGACACGTCTACCAAAAATCCTTTTGTGACCAATCACTTATCTAACATTTATAAATTATGGGCGAACGACGGGAATTGAACCCCGCATGGTGGATTTGCTTGTTCAAACAGCAAGCAACCACTTGTGAATCTACAATAATAATTATTATTATTCTTACATCTATCTCAAGCAAGTCTAGCCCGACTGTATGAATATTCATTGTCCATGATTTAAGATTATAAACTCAAATGACAAAAAAGGGTTTTTAAAAATCATTTACCCAAAAGATAGTGTGATGAATTAGATAGCCCTACATAGGAATTTGAAAAATCGATAGTCCACAAACAAGTGGTCTATGCGAACATTGAAAGCTTTTGCATGTTCTATCATCGTATGTTATAGGAGATTAGGAGTGTAGATAAAGGATACAATAAATGAAGAATGAACCACATGGTATAATTGACTGTAGCTTGATATCGATGAAGTGAAAAACAGAGTGATTTGTGAAGTTGATCTGAAATAGGAAAGTAACACAAGTAGACATGTTGGTCGCTTGATTAGGAGAAATTATTTGAAGTGTGAGGCTAACTTTCACTAGGGTATGAAAAGAATGTTTATTGCAAATAGAAGGAAAAAAGAAATATTTGACACAAAAGGATTACCAAGTAATTGTGCATTTCAATCGCCACCACTAACGAGTAGCCAATCCCATGCTAATCTATGGTTTGTATGGAAGTACTTGTCGGGCCTTATTATTTTTAGGATTTTTTCATGAATTTTTAATCTATTAGGACTCTCTTTCGTGAAGGAAGGAAAAAAGACTCTCAAAAGGAATAAATCTCTTTCATATGTCATATTTTTCTTGGAAGAGAAGTTTTGTACTTCTATAAATTGACGTTTTCTTCTCACCACAAGAACAACAACAACCTCCACAATATAGTCGTTAGGAGAATCATGTTCAGGGGAGATTATTCTCTCAAAAAATTATTTTCTCTTTTTATAATAATGATAGATCATATGTAGGTCGCTTAACCAATCCATAATAAATTATTATGCCTAGTTTAGTATATTTTTCTTTCTCGTCTTACTTATCGTTTCAAAAGTTTGCATTGTTAGCTTTTGCATGCATCATGTTATTTTGATCCCAACAAGTGGTATCAGAGCCAATGGTTCAGAGCCAATGGTTCAATCAAGGTTGAAGACAGGTTCAAGGCGGGTTCAGATCAAGCAACAATCAATTTGACATCAGTCTGAAATACTACATATGGAGACTTTTAACCATATATTTTCGATATTCCTGATGCTGACCAAAAGTCTTTTTAATCTGTGCTCACTTTTAATGCGCAGGGCTCCAATTTTAACTCATATCCATTTTTAATCATGACAAACAACACTGATGAAGATTATGTGAAGAAGGTGAATCAAATTTTGCCAAGAAAATTCAGGTCAATGGGAGAATTGTTAAGATTTTACCCTTAATTTTTAATCTATTAGGACTCTTTTTCTTGAAGGAAGCAAAAAACTCCTAAAAGAAATAAATCTCTTTCATATGCCTTATCCTTTTCTTAGAGGTACTTCCATAAATTGACGTTTTTTCTCACAACAAGAACAACATCAACCTCCACAATGTAGTCGTTAGAAGGATCATGTTTAGGTGAGATTATTCTCCCAAAAATTTGTTTTCTTTTTATAATAATAACAATAATAATAGTAGATCGTATGTAGGTCGATTGACCAATCCATAATAAATTATTATGCCTAGTTTAGTATATTTTTATTTCTCGTCTGACTTATCGTCTCAAAAACTTGCATTGTTAGCTTCTGTGTGCATCATATTTTTCCGATCCCAACAATTATCTCTTCTTTTTTTTTGTAACGGTAGTGTTTGAATCATCTCGCCCACTTCTCGACCGTTTTACCAAATACCAATTACTCCACACCAACATAAGTATTCGAGATAATAACGATAGTGTTCGAATCAATTTGCGCACATCTCGGCTATTCCACTAATTACTTCACACCAACATAGGCATCCAGTGATTTCGAATCAAACTTGTCTCGATTAATCCAATTACTCCGCACCAACATAGATATCAGGTGACCCGACTATGGTTGGTATGTGAGTACTTAACGAGCATCATTTCTTTGATTGCATTATTTTCAAATCAATGCAGGCTACATAAGCAAACATGTGCAGCAGTATACGATGTACATTAGATATAACGTCCTTTGCATATAAAATAAATTCAGGGGATTTCAGAACCATACTTCAGGTGTAATCTTTTGCTGTAAGCGTTCAGAATCCAAGACTTAAAATGGAGCGCAAAACGAATGCTATTTACAGGTAGGGCAAATTCATGGCTGTTGGTGAAGATAAATTAGTTAACTGCTGTAAGAAAATGAATTCAAATGACATCGTTCCATTACCACTTCTTTCGAGTGCAGTAAGTAGCCTCCCACGGTTAATCAAATCATAGGTCAAATGAAAACAATTTTTAATAATTGCTACAACAACAATGCAGGACATGCAAACAAACTGGGGAATATTTAAAGCCAAAAGGAACAACTAAAAAGGAGATTCACCAAAGTTTGTTATGGTTCAGTAACTCAAATGGCTGCCTGCACAAATAAAATTACATAAACGGGTTCTGAATTTGATGGAAAATGTGCTTGGAAACTAGGAAAATATTTGACAAGTTACTTTTGCTAGCCATGAAACATACATCTAGTTTAACCAAAATAATAATTTCCACACCAGCTAATATGCATCACGTCCAACTCGCCGATCATCTCGTCCCCTTCCCATGTATAAATCACGGTGATAGTCTTTGGGTGGCGGTCCACCTCTCACTGGAGAACGACTTCTCTCCCTGATATCACGGGCCCATTGGCCACGAGGTAATACTGGAGGACGAGGCGGAGATGGTATTCGCCTTTCCAAACCTTTCCTCTCGCTTAAGAAGCTCTCTCTGACACGCTCCCGTCCCCAATCCAGGGGTGGAGGCCTTTCAAACCTACTCCTGTCCCTATAATCAGCATCGGGATAATCAGGCCTATCTCTACGGATTGGCGGATCTGCAAACCTCCCTTCATATCTGGAATGAGGAACCCCAACTCTGAAATCTCTGGCATCATCTCTAGCCCAGCCACGAGGGGGGGACCTATACCCATTCACAAACCTTCCTGGAGAACGGTTGATTGGGGGGCCAGGAATGTGGCGAGGAGGAGGGGGGCCAGGAAAACCTCTCCTAGGACTCCCAGCAGGTGCATATTGAGGCCTTTTGCATTTGTTACAGTACTCTCGCCTTGCAAAGTTCAAGTTGTTACATCTGCAATGTCAGGAGAACAAAGTATGATACACAACTATAACATCTAGGACAAAAGAATTTGCTTTCCCTTTTTTCTATTTTGGAGCAGTTTCACGGTGATTTAAAAGGCATCATCTACAGACAGATGTAATCAGCAATAGACATCATTAAAACACCCAAAGTACTTGAGTAATGTTAATTATGCAAGTATGCCCGCCTAGTAATCCCTAACATTTCTGCTTCAACAAAATCAAAGTACATCCAGTCCTTCCAAAATCTTCTTAGAACACTTAATACTATTGAAGCAGTTCAAACTGTAAAAATAATCAGAAAAGAACTCAATAAATCCATTCAACATTACTTGCTTGTTTCTTAGTTAGCAGCAGACGGATCTTCATCTAAGCTCTTCTTGCATAAGAGAATGGCTTGTTTGTCACTTAAATATATTCTACTTTAAAAAACAAGACTTTTAACATGAGCAAGTAACTAACAATATAAATTGCTCCATCTGGGTACAAATTACGGAGACCTGAAGGCAAATTGCAGGAATCATAGGTGCAAAACCCATTTACTGCAATTTAAACCTGATCAATGAGCAGAATCGTGTTCAAGATATGGGAATTTTACACTGTATGTCCTTTTTTATATGATATTTAAGGGATCTTACGGATACCAGGTAGACGCAAGAAAGCTTCAGATGATGCTATCTAATTAGCAAGAATCATTTAGCTCATTTTGAAACCATTAAAACCTGAGGAAACAGATAAATTTAAACAAGTCTTCCGGAAACAAAGTTAAATTAGCTCGCTTGTTCATACAGCAAGCAATGTCTTACTTGTGCATACTATAACAACAATAACTACTACATCTCAACCTCAAGCAAGTTGAGATCGGTTATATAAATATTCACTGTTCATACTTTAAGATTATAAATTCAAAAGAAATGACATGAGCCTAAGCCGTCAGGAGAGGTGAGACCATTTTCATGAGAGAGGGACGAGCCTCCTGACATGAAGGAATGCCCAAGCCTACCAGGTAGCAGATGATAGACGGCCAACTATCGTTGCCTCGCACAAGATGGCACACTATAATGAGCTCAAATGCTTTCCTTTCTCCATACCTCCTACCCTCTGAACTTCCTGAATTGAGCTGGTCCAAAGTGTTCCCGGTAAAATAAGGAATGTGAATCAAACCTTTCAGCCCCGCGTTGTTAGTTTTCGAGAATTATCCACTTAAAAGATAGTGTGAAGAATTAGATGCCAGCCCTATGTAGGAATTTGATAGATATGGGAATTCAAACCAATCAATGAGTAGAAACATGTTTAAGTGCTTCAATTGAAAGTTGGCTTTCAATAAGTTATAATGGCTCCAACTCCCATGCAACTGGTCCTTATTCAGCTATTACAACATGACTGCTTTTAACAATTCTTGATATATTGAAGTTCTCATAATTCAATGCAAGCAATTCTAAATAATCAAAATCTTAACAAAGAAGAAGAAAACATTTTCAGACCACGAAAGAAGAACATTTGAACAGGAGAAAAGAAAACAAATCAAACACGTTGAAAGGATAACTCAATGCTAAAAAAATAGGAGGAGAAAAACAGCACGTACAACGGATCCATGCACATCCAATCACCATCTCTTGGCCGTACATTTGGGTTACTTCTAGGTAGACCTTCGCCTCTAACTTGCCCTGCACCATAACCAGGTCTATCATAACTTTTGCCCAGAAACCTGCCAGCTTCTCTTCCACGACCGTAAGGGGGTGAATAGTCTCGATGTCTGCCTGGATATTTCCCTCTGCCAAATCCACGACTACGTGGTGGGCCACCAGAATGATCAAAATCAGGACTATACCGATGATCTGCATTCCTATGGCGCTCAGGTGAAACAGAACCTGCACGTATTCTATATCCTGAAAAAATCCAGTGAATCCCAAACATAAGAGGCACTATATCATGAGAGAAAGTTACCCATATTATTTCCTAATCCTAATTAAGCTAAAGTTTTTGCTACCCATGAAATGCCAACAATTGGACTAAGCTTGTGCAACCAGTACCATTGTTCAGAGCTTCTTGTAGAATATTAGAGAAAGAGTAGCAGGAAGAGAATGTGAATCTCGAGGACGACTGTCTTCAAATTTATGTCTCAAACAAGATTATTACAGTACATCAACTGTAGAAAACTACAATTTGCCATATCATCCACACCTCACATGATAAGTTACTGCAATCCTTGAGGTAAAATAGACTTGGTTACTAAATGTGAAGCCAGTACCGTGGATTTGACACACTGCACGGTTGACATTTATTCCCTCTAAACACATCAAATAGAAAACCCGTATTCATTGATGAAAAACAACCAATACCACCAACGCAAGTAGTAATTAGAAACTCCCAACTGCACCAAAGCCAGGACCTTAAAATTACTGAACTCCTAACGATCCAAGCAAAATGCATTCCATAAAATTATCAAACTGCTAATAATCAACTCAAAATGCATTCCAACTCCTTAACAAAATGACTGTAAATTGAGCGAAACCAACCATAACCAACTTACCAAAAAGTGAAACCAATCATAACCATCGTAAGCGCTTGCGCAAATGGCTGAGAAAATCCAAGCACTGAACTTAGTAAATCCCTTTGCAAACCAGCCCTTAGTTTGTTGATTAGACCTATTAAGTTCAAGCTTCTACATGGGACTAACTGACTGATGCATCAAAACTTACATGGAATCCTCTTATCAACCGAAACTAAACCTGGAGCAAAGCAACTAATCCAAATGCATGCCCAATTCAATTCCTATTTAACCGGCAAAATAAAGTATTAAAGGAAAAAAATCCCAAAAACAACCGCTAATTGGAGAAAGCAAGAAACTGAAAAGACTAAGACATTCATCAGTTTCCTTGAATCCAAATGACAAGGATTGGGATGGATTTGGAACACCAATTGTCCACCAAAAGATATCTGTTGCTTCACTGGAAGTTTGGGTCTTTGTCAACTTTCACCTGTTACCACTCATCACCGTTGCAGCATTTCCAGCCACTTCAACAATACAACTATAAAGACAACCAGCAAAAACACTTCATTCACAATATCAACCATTTAGTAATGGATCAGTCTCAGATACCTCATGTAACATTCTCAATTTCCTTCAAAGAGATAATTCACCAAACCATACAAGCTGACTATCAATAGAGCAGCCCATGAAACACAACAAGATACAAAGAGCTCACAGCTCATGAAAAACCCTGTAAAATATTATATTCGACAGTTATTCTTTCCTGTTCATAACACCCCAACCAAATTTCTCTACCAGAACCTCACCACGTGCCTTCCTCAAGACCAATGTTCTTGCACCAGGCAAAGTGCTCAGCTGTAAAAACAATAGCAAAATTCATTCACAATTCAACACTCCGTAAATGATACTGGAGAACAACAACGGCAATCAAGTGGGTGGATAAACGCTGTTATTTCTCACTCAGAAATGCAGAAACTTGATGTGCCTTGACATGAAAAAGATCTGGCTGACGCAATAGATCTCAAATTATTGTCATGTTGAATGCCAGAAGCCTGTAAGTCTCTCAAACTACCTCATTAATCATATCTATAGTAGAAGTCTTAACAGTTGAATTTGAGGATGATATGAAGAGTCAAAGCGTGAAGCCACTTCACTATCCACTAGAATTTGGGTATGAAGGAATTGATTATGAGACAGAACATACCAAAAATGTATTAAAAAAAGGGTAAACAAGTTCACGGTGAAGTTGAGCCCATACTTGAGCTACATTTGAGTTGAAAAAAAAAAAGGTAAAGAAGTCTATGGTGAAGCTGAGCCCATACTTGAGCTACATCTGAGTTGACCAATAGCATAGAAGATGAGTTTCGTGGTTTATACTTTTTGCGGACGATATTGTTTTGATTGAAAAAACTAGCGAGGGAGTTAACCTCAAATGCTAGACGAGTAGAGGAGTACTCCAAAATAAAGGCTTTAGGATAAGTAGAGGTAAGATAGACTGTATGCACAACAAGTTTAGCATACTTAAGAAAAAGAAAAGTTGAAAAAAACTAAACGGGACTACAGTGCTTAAGTGAAAATAATTGAAGCATCTACACTCAGCCTTTTAGAATCAACAACAACAACAACCCAGTGTAATCCCACATGTGGGGTCTGGGGAGGGTAGTGAGTACGCAGACCTTACTCCTACCCCGAGGAAAACTCAGCCTTTTAGAATAATGGCATAATAAATGTAGTTGTAAAACTTCAAACTAAAATAGCATGGCTAAACTGGAAAGGTGATATGAGACTGTTATGCAATAATTGTATTTAAGCGGAGAGGAGAAGAGGGATGGACTAGTTATCCCCGAGTGCCGAAGACTCTGGTTGGTCCCAAGGGTTGACCGAGACAGATTTCTCGGTCATAAAAAAAGTATGTTATTCAAGAGACATATACTTAACGAAGTGAAAGAGGAATATTACAGAATGGCTGTGACACTATCGACACTAAATGGAGAGATTGTTCAGCCTCTAAAACCCAACATACCCACAAGACAAGCATAACCAAAATGAGAATGTTGGACGCTTTTCCATAAAAAAAAAAAGAATAGACAAGATCAAAAGCTGATCACATTCAGCAGGAAGTGCAAGTGAAAGGAAAAAATGACCAAGATGATTTGATCATTTTCTGCGTATGCCAAGTGAGTTAGTCAGTAAGCTATGGGTAACAACACCATGATAACTGGAGTGATTTCGTGAACTATGGGTAATGACACCATGATAACTGGAGATGTTTAAAGGAATGAGATTAAAATCACATATAGCAACTTTGTCTAAAAAAACTGTAATATATTAATGGAAAGCAGGGAATTCTTATAAGTCATGGTAACTAGTTGGTGTGCAGGTTAGCTGTTATTCGCACACATAAAACAAATCTGGTTTCTGATAAGTGCCTTTTAACTATGGTTAGAGATTGTATGTAATTGTAGGAATAGGTGTATGACTTCGAGAACCGCTAATTTTAAAGGATCACCAATTTATCCTAAAAGAAAAATTACTGAAGCCCAAAGAGTACGATTCATATATCTGATCCCAACTGTTTGGAATTGAGGCTAGTAGAAGTTACCATTACTGTTGTATCACTACATCACACTAAGAAGATTTCATTGTGAAAACCCAACGACACAACCGTCAGCAATCAGGATACAATCAATTAATACTTTCACCAAAGATACAAAATGTATAATCTAAAACGAACAACACGCCTGAATACAGCAGCGCTATTTTATTTAGTTCTGAAATTCGACCAAAAAATAAACAATTAAATCTTTCACCAACAAACAATCAGATCAATATAGTCTTAACATACGGGTTGGATCTAGGGTTTCGTAATTATCGTGAAAAAAAAGGGGATGTAGCGAAGGACAAACCATGAGTATCGGAGAATCGACCGGAACGTGAATAGGGTGGTGCATCTGGACGAACCTCACCGGGCTCGTAGTCGCTACCAGCACCGTCACTGTCATTATCTCCGCCGCTGTCGGTGGGCCTTACAACTAGGCTGCTCAGGTGCGGCGTTGGCTGGTCTTTCTCTCGCGAACCCATATTCTTCTCTCTCTTGCCGCACTGTGCGGAGTGTCTTTTTCTGTGCTCACTTTGTTATATGATCGTCGATTTCAAGAAAAAATATTATGAAACCCTAGTCGGTACATATTTGGATACGTATGTTTTGGAAATTGGGTTGTTACTTGTTGTATTGGAACCTATTGTTACTTTAGAGATAATATTTATTTTTGTTATTAATTAAATTTTATTATATCGTATTATTAAATTTATTATTATGTTAAAATATTTATTTTGTTATTAATTAAATTTATTATATCATATTATTAAATTTATTATTACGTCAAAAAATGCATCGTTACCTTATTTTTCTTCTAATCTTGTCTTTTTTTATTATTAAATAATTTTATTTTACCCTTTATTATACCTTTTTATATAATAATTCTATCTTATATCTTAGCTTTTTATAATATAATATTGCAATTGTATTCTTCATATTATCGTTGCATGACATAATGAAATGACTACAAACGATATAATAAATCCAAACGTTGTATTCATTAATACAATACAGTATAATATAATACAATCCGATATATTATGAAATAATATGCAACGACCAACCAAACAATACAGTGAAGAATCTAAATTATAACGGTGAAGAATCTAAAGATTTAACCAATATAAAAGAGAAATACTTTCGTATCAATAATTATATTTATTTTCTCTTTTTGCCTATTTAACTTTATATAATAAAGTGAACGTAATTTTTTTGTTTTTCATTTAAGTCGATGTATAAAACTCTATTAGTTCATTCTAATAAGTGTCTATACCTAAATAGTTGTAGATCTAATAAAGTTAGTTGTTGAATTTGAATTTGTGACCTAGAGATTCATATTATAATCTTAAGATCTAGTTGTTCGTAATAAGAATATAGAGAGGTCATGTCTGCATTGACCTAACCGGTCGTTTTGAGTTTTACCATTTTGGTATGTGATTTGAGAACTTGAGTTGATATGATATTTTATGACTTGCATGTAATAGTTGGTTGGGGTTCTAAGAGGTTCAAGAGTGATTTGGTTTGCAACTAGAGGATTTAAGTTAAGAAGAGTTGACCAAAGTCAACATTATGGGCAAACAAGCTCGGATACGTGATTTGAAGGTTTCAATAGGTTTATATGTTGATTTCGGACTTGTACCGTATTCAGTTCGGACCTCAGATGGTCCGAGGTTGATTCAACACTTCATGTTGAAAATTGAAATTCATGAACTTAAGAGAATTTCATAATTTGGATTGATCTTTGTTGGTTTTGATATTGATAATTGTGTTTTGAGCCTTTGAACAAGTTTGTATTGGGTATACGAACTTATTAGGATTATTGGACGGGATACCGGGGGATTCCAATGAGTTTTGGGGTGATTTTGGATCATTTTGAGCCATGTCTTGTAGTTGTAGATTTTTTACCGCAGAGGAATGAATCATGATCGTGTAGTCTAGTGCTGTAATTGAAAAGAGGAAAGGGTGCTGGGAGTATTTTTAGTTACGATCGCGTAAGAGACACTACGAACGCAAATGTCACGACCAAAATATCTCACCGGAGTCGTGGCGACGCCTAAGACCGCTTGCTAGAAAAGTCACCAATCAATAAGCAGAATCAAACTTAAATAGCAGCATTAAATAGTTTCAATAACGGAATAATCATAGATAACTTAAGTCAATAGTAATAATACAAATAAAACCACCCCATGACCTAGTGCCATCAAATACATGACCACTACAGAATATAAGTACAGAGTCTAATCACCAAAATACAGTACTGCCTAAAAAAAGAATAGTAATAATATGAACTAATAAGAAAGGGACTTCAAGGCCTGAGAATGAAACACAACAACTACTTCGAAATCTCCAAGACCTGGTACCAGTGGCACTACCTAGCAATCACCTCTCTCGGTAGTACCTAAATCTGCACATAAAGTGCATAGTGCAATATAAGTACAACCGACCTCATGTACTCAATAAGTAACAAGTCTGGCCTCGGACTGAAGGCAGCAACGATCCTGGCAAGGTTCAGTACTCATTTCCAATAGCCAATAACAACAATAGCGGTAAAATAATGGCAAAAAGATAAATAGCTCAAGTAATATTAAATTCAAACATTTCACAAATAGAAGAAAAATAAGCATGCTTTTCAAGAATCATAGTTAAGGCATAAATTCTTCTACACAAATCATCTAAGCATCTGTTTCTCAATTTAATTGTGATTGCAAGTTCAACTGTTCAACACATCAAATAGAGGCATCAGGTACTAATAATTATGAGGCAAAATATACAACCATATACCTACATGACAAGTACATGCCATAATTAACCAATATCGTAGTTAAATCATCAAGTATATCGAATCTCAACACATGTATAGTGCCTAACACAATTTCCCTTCAATAGTCACATACAACACTCAGCACTGTACGGGTGTTTGGCACAAGTCCTTTACCAAGCACATATATGGCCCCGTGTGCCTATACTCGCAGGTTAATACCTGACTCCAGAGGGGCGAGTCTTAGCCCAAGCGTTGATTGGATCCAAGTCAATGATCAATATCAGTTAGACCAATATAGGGCATGGCGCACCCGTCACCTCATAATCAATACCACTCAGCCCAATGCGGGACCTGGTGCATGCGTCGCCTCACTATCAGAATCAAATCGGCTTTATGGCCTAAGATCAATTCATCAACTGCTCAAGTCTCAAATGTTCACATCTCATAGTACTCAGCTCAAAACATATTACACATAGGGGCATCAACAACATGTGATATAACATATAAAGAATGCACATAGACGGAAATATAATTTGCGGATGTAGCATCATGACTGAGAATATAACACAATTAAGGCAAACAACTCAATATAGCAAGGACAACCTTATCATGTCTCAAACGGATAATCACATAGGCTATACTTGATTTATAACATGAGTAATATCTCACGTAGTCATACAAGTGAAGAAAACACGGCAATAATGGGGCATGATAGCAAAACAAGGCACTTAATAGCCTATGGTCAACCCGGATCATGAATAACCCCGGTGTACACACATACGCCCATTACCTAGCATGCGTGTCACCTCCAACATATCTCAAATATCATAGTCAACGGAGAAATTATCCTCAAACCAAGTTTAGACGAGTTACTTATCCCAAAGAGCGTGAATCAATACTTCAAAAGCATTACGTAGAACGGTTTCTCTGAAAGACACATAACGGTTATTTTCTAACCGCGAGTTCCCTCCACACATCAATCAATGGACCCCACGAACGGTGCTGCTCCGGCGCGTTTGGAAGTTCAAACTACCCCAAATCCAAGGGCGAACCAGCCTACTGAGTTTACATATGGAAAGTTGTCTTATGCTACAAAAGTAATCACTTCCTCGAATGTGCCGATTCCCCCAAATCGCCATGGCGGAGATTCAGTTGTTTCTACCCACACCACTTACAATGGGATGTCGACGGTGCTCTTCAAGGCATCGGATTTCCATGGCATTATGGCAGAAGAATGCAAACTTACCATTTGTCACACCTCCTTTTTACTTACTACACCCGGGAAAGGGCGTAAAGGAGTTTTTCCACTTAAAGGACAATCGGGACGGGATTTATTATTAAACTTCAGAGTCGCCACTTGCGAGATTAATGGTGTCCCAAGTCACCGGTTGAATCCCGAACCGAGGAAATTATGACTCTGTTAACAGTCCGCGAACCAGAAATCCGAGTAAGAAATTCTGTTAACCCGGAGAAGGTGTTAGGCATTCTCGGGTTCCGTGGTTCTAGCACGGTCGCTCAACTGTCATATTTAGCTTATTTATGTGATTTCAAAACATGTTTTAGCTTATGCTTTTTAACTTTGAACCGCTTTTATTATTATTATTTTAAGAGAATTGCAACGTCGTGAAAATACGTCTCGAACCGCATCACAAAAATGCACCCGCGATTTTTGACACATTTCGACTTCGTTGAGATTTGGATTTGGGTCACATAAATGTGCACCCGTATTTAGGAAGGTAAAATTATTTAAAATACGCGCCTAAAGTAGCTAGCGTGTTAGTATCTTTGGGGAAAGCCGTGAAATTTGCTAAACGGCCCATCCCGATTTCTAAGTATTTTTATGTATACATTTGTTGAGGGCCCCGCAATTTATGTATTTTTGTTTAGCGAGGCTCATCTCATTTATTATTTAAAGGTCCAACCTAAAGTAAACTATGATTTTCTATTTAATATTGTCTCTAAAGGCCCTAATTAATTAGTATATCTAAAAGGCCAAGTCCTTATGATCCAGTTTCCAATCGACCCAACTCAGTAATTTATGAAGTAAAGACAAAGCGGACTTAGCAATTCATTCAAAACATAAAGGATTGGACAGTTTGGGCCCATTGTTGCGGAAGCCAGGCCCAAGAGCATTATTCAAATTTAGTTGTGCAGCTGGACAATAGCTGTCTAGGCCTCACGTTTGAGCCCAGAATCAAGTGTTGAATTAAGACGAGGCCCAATACTGATTAGTACAAAAAGTGAGCTCAACTTTGTGAAGGAACGTGCCAAAAATCAGGTTCAAATTCGGTATTTAAACTAACAAATTTATATATGCTTAACAATTACAATACATATGTTATACTTTTCACCTAGTTAACATACAACTCTAATGATCAACTATCTATGAACTCAATGCTTTCGTCCTACTGGTACTCAGGTCTGTCCAAAACGTTTCAGCAAAGTTATTTTTAATTATAGAGTGAAAATGAGAACATCTACCAAAGGCTCTATCACGTTTCTGAGTCACTTGTTAAACAAATTTATGAAACAGTTGACAGGAAATCAACTAAAGCTAACAGGAACTTATTCAGTTTACTTACAACTAGTACTCAACTACTAAAACTCATACACATCTCTAAATACACGAACACACACCTAATGGTTCAAATGAACACACTCATGCTTAACAGTTCATCATTTCAATAAAGTCCATTACAAATTAAGAGTTCAACCAGTCCAAATTACTTTTAACAAAAAAAATCCTAATTACAATCCAAATCATTACAATCGATTATAATGAAAATATTGCAACAACTGAAACTTCTAATGAAATTATGCTTCCATTTCATTTCATTTCAGCTGAAATTCT